TGAAAGCTGACCCTGGGAGATGGTAAGAGACCATTTTACCACTGAGCATAATTTTATGCCTGGGGGTACTACATTTGCAGGCTGGGGCTGAGACAGGGGCTACATTTGTTAAGCAAAGCATACAATAAATCCAAATACAGAGATCAAACAGAGACAAACTATTTCTAGGGTGACCCGCTTTGCAGGGATTCCATTCCTCAGGGGCCACAGTCACTAGTCCAATTGTCAATGCTCCTGCGAAGGTGCCAATTAAAGTCAGGTACCCTGAGGAACAACGGTCTATTCTTTGGCGTCTTTTTTACTGGTTGGCGTCTTCCATTGTCTTAGCGTGGGTTTTGGCACAGGCCTAGTCTTTGGATCTTTGGGATCTGCTGCTGTCTTGGCCCGGCTGTAGTAGATCTAAGGGATGACTCCTGCAGCAGTAAGTTTGTCCAGGGCAGTCCAGTTTTCTGGTCTGCATACTCGGCAACTTTCTTGTCCTCAATTATATAGCTGCTTCTATCTATGTAGTGGGTGACATCAACATCAGGTTGAACCAGGAGCTGGTCTTGGAGGTCTGGCCGGCTGGCGTGGACTTCTCTGGTTACTCTAAGACAGTCATGGTCTAGCTTTCTAAGTTCTGCCGGTAAGCAGGTGGCTGGATTGACTTGTTTCATGGTCTTAATATGCACCCTCGGATTTCTTTGGAGGATGCCCTGGTATTGAGTCAGTCTGGGGTTCGACAGTCACTTATGCCTCTTGCAAGAGTGTTATGGCAGCAGCGACTGCCTTCAGATGAGGTGGCCAGCCGGTGGCGCCAGCAGATGTCCAACTGCTTAGACAGGTGAGCCACCGGGTGTTGCCATGGTCCGACAGGCTGGGTCAGGATTCAAGGGTTACTTTGTCTCTCTTGTGGGTGTACAGATTAAAAGGCCGCCTCGGCTTTGACAGTCCAAGGGCAGGAACATTACTGAGGCACCTCTTAATATTTTGGAAGGCTTTTTCTTAATGTCTGGATCTTTCAAAGCCCGGTAGTAGGGCCGAGTTTTACAGCCGCAGGGTGCAGGCTGGTTTTCCCTCAGGAGAATGAGCATTTTCCTCAGAAATCAGACAAGGTTCTGGAGGGCGTTGGCAACTCTGCCATTTTCTGTCTTCGCCCCTGATCACACCCTGAGTACTTCTGGCAAGCCTGGTTGCTGAGCTCTGCACTTGGTGATATTACCGGAGCCCCAAGGGAGCTTGTAGGCTATTGGGGCAGGCGAATCTGATGGAACAACGTGAAGGGCTATGACAGAGGACTGCGCAGACGGCTGTAGGGGGGCACTTCAGCAGCATGTGCGTTCTCTCCTAGCACCGATCCTGGGATGGGCTGCCAGGAGGAGGTCGTCCATATACTGCAGAATTGTCAGGTCTATCCCCCCCTTAGCGAAGGGTCTCCTGCTAGGGCTTCCCAAACAGGGCTGGGGAGTTCTTAAACACTTGGGGCAGTTTAGTCTAGGTCAACTGAGCCTTGACCGCTGTGTGCAGAAAATGGGTTGGCTGGAAGGTGCCACAGGAATGCAGGAGAAGGCATCCTTCAGATTAAGGCAGGTAAACCACGTTGCTGTTGGGGGAAGCTGGCTCGGGAGGGTGCACGGGTTCGGGACCACTGGGTGGCGGCTGTCGGCTGATTCGTAGACAGCCCACAGATCCTGGACAGGCCGGCACCCGCTCCTGTCTGGCTATTATCATGGGTCTGGGCAGGTGTGGCCCCATGTTATGGAGCCAATTTTTCTCCAAGCTCCCACTTGGGGGACTTGCCTCCCTGTCACATCCTGGGCAGGGGAGTCTTCCTTTATCTCCCTGGCCCAGAGCATGGCCACAGCCATTTAGCATATCCAAGTGACCAGCTGAAGGCTATAGGCACGTTAAATGACCATGCCATGGGTCAACTGCAAAACCGGTGTTGTATAAAACAGTCCCGCATATTTTGCTCTGTGTGTCCTTCTTCAACTTACACTTGTGGGGAAGGGGTGAAGACATCCTAAAATTTCCTGGACATCTTGAATTCTGGACTCCGTCCCAAATGCCCATTTGGGGTCCCCCCGCCCTTGGCTGAAACTTGTAACAACTTTTCATTTTAGATATATACCCACTTTAAATTCTTTTAAAGGACAATGGACGAAGGTCTCATCTTCTTGTAACTGCTTCTGGCTAGAAATGGACGTTGTTTTACCTACCCATGGGTCTGGGGTGCCCTGAAAGTGGGTGCAGCACAGGGGGAGTCCTGCCTGTAAAGGGAAGGACCTTACAGAATCCTGGTCAGTTAGCTATTACCAGGAAGTTGCAGGCTCAGTGTCCAAAGGCTGGCATTACTGGACCGTTGACATCCTGGTTATATTCTGGAAGTGACAGATTTGGAAAGAGTTGGAAGGCACAATTAAATCATAACCATTAAATGACAAAGGCAGGGGCTTAGGCATGGCTTATCTGGAGGAAGGTGTACAAGGCATGCTACACCTATTCAAAGCTTTTGTGGTCCATTATACTTTACTTAGGCTGAGGGATTATATTATGATTTCCCTCCTTTCAGATATCTAAACTTTTCCTGTTCCATCCACTAAGACAGAAAAGAGAAAATCAGTTTTAAAGTGAAGCCCACAGATCGCCCAAACTGCTTACTAACCCAACTACTTAGTTTAGCCAAACCATTGAGCTCCAGGGGGCGACGATGAAAATGGGCTCCTTAAGTGAGGCCTATATTGCAACCGATCACTCAGGCAATGAAGCCATAGGCATACGTCCTATGAAAACAGAAGAACACACAGTTAATTTACACAATAGTCCCCAAACCAGTCTCCGTGCCTGTGAGACTGTCTTTGGGAAGGCATTCAGTTGCAAGTTTTTTTCCCTGCAATGACATTCAGCAATGGCAATTTGACAGGTCCTTCATACCTGTAAATTGTACAGTTTGATGATATTACAAAACCAGTTTTTTTTCTTCAAATGAAAACAAACTTTTAAGACAGTTAGCTGCGTTATTCTGTTTAATACTGAGCACAGTGATTTTCCTTGAACCATAATTTTCCTCCTTAAGATCACCCTCACTGTTATTAAAGGGACTACTTTGAGTTCTGTTTTCTCATTTTGACTGTTCGTTTGCATAAACACACCAGGAGCAGCCTGAATTACTTATGATTCTTGATTCTGCTTTGCTGGAACTCACACAGGGAACCTTCAGATTGACTTCTCAGTCCGCCCCTCAGAGCACAGAAGCAGAGCCATACATCCGCCATCTGGCTTTGCCTGTACCATTTGTTTCACTCAGATCCTTGAGTTTTCATTGTTAAAACAGGTTTCTTGCTTACAGGTTCCTTTTTGGCCATCTTTCATGAAAGCAACCTTCGTTCCTTCCCTGGAAAGACTGCCATGAACTGCACAACCAACCAAAGTACCAGGCTTTCCTCGTGGGCTTATGCTAGCTTCACAAGTCAATCCCAGTTCCTCAGGGCTTTCTGGTGACGACCAGAACCCATACATGCCTCCTTCAGACATGACGTTCCAGTCAAAGTCTTGGTTAACAAAACCATTATTAACTACTGGTCTTATTGGTCTTATGCAAAGAAACCTTATGTTTTCACTTACTCCTTCAGAATGCCAAATTCTGGAGGGATCAGGTAGGGAGAAAAATACAAAGCCTGAAGGAAAAACTTTTCCCTTCTGATATTTACCAGGCTTCTTAAAACCTTTACTGCTACAGACTTATGCAACATTTACAACTTTTTTATCTTTCATATATTTTCTGATATCCAGCAAGAGTGTATTTCCATGCCTTATATTTTTTATTATTAACTAACATCACATAATTCTAAAATTCTTTTTCCATTTATCTTTACAGTTTCCCACAGACTTTCTTCATTTATATATAAATACTTAAATTATTTACTTTTCTACAGAGTGTGAAGTTTTAACCTTCCCTGGAATTCTTTACTTCCTTTTCAGAGCAGATGCAGAGCAAAACCCAAAACACAGAGTTTCCAGAACAGTACACAGGTAGGGGCATTCTCTCGCACAGAGACATGCTCCTTCAGGCCCGGTCTCATGGCAGAGACATGCTGCTTTGCCTCTGACTGAAGCACTCATCAGCCCCAAATGACCCTTCCTGGGTCCCGAGTGGCAAAGGCATCCTCCCCAACCAGTTACAGGCAACCTTAAACAGATTTTAAGTACAGAGGGTTTTTGATCAGAAACAACACTGCTCTTTTCCCACAAAACCAGAAAACAAATAGTTGAGGTTTCCTTTACTCCAGGTTTAAAACTTTACATTCTTTATACATAATTTTACTCATTCAGATTTAACCATTATTCTTTTTAATCCTGGTTCTTTCCCACTCTGGGAAGGACAGCCGAAAGTCCCTGACACTGCAGGCTGCAGTTTTCTGAAGCTCAGACCCTGCAAACATTTTACAGGCCAGATGTTTTCTTAACTTCAGTACAAGTCCTTCAGAGCCATCCTTATCAGAACCAGTTACACAGAGAGCCAGACGGATGCAGTCTGGAGAGAGCCCTTAGCCTGGCACCTTGCCCCGTTCCAAGATGGAGGGGCTCTCACGTGACCCATCTTCCAAGATGACGACAACCCTGCACCTCCACCTGGGGGGGGGGCACTCACGTGGCTCGTCCTCCATTTTACCCAAAATGGCAGCGCACCCACATACATGCAATACAGTACTGGGGCAGAAACCGCCCCCAACTCATGATGAATTCTCCCAACTGACGCAGACAAAGGAAAAAGGGGATCTTTCACATGCCCGCCGCAGGTGGGGGGGCCAATCAGACTCTGTAAGCCTGGCTGGCTCGTGGAGTCACAAACACATTCACTCACACAGTCGCACAGACAGCCACACAGAAGTTAGCTGTCCCTCCCCCCGAGAAGGAGCCCGATGGTCTGGGTCTAGCCCAGACCCCTGAATTTTCTGGTCGAGGGGTGATCAGTCCCTCTCAGATTCTCGGGGTCAGGTCCCTAGGGCACGTCCAGATACCTGATTGGCGCCTCCGACAGTCCGTGGTTCGTCTCTCCCCTCCGTCCGGGTGTTAGAGCCGTTGGGGACGCAGCACGGGAGTCTCTGCCCCGGGAAGCCTGGAATCACCAGGGCACGTGCTCCTCCCCTGCGGCAGGGCTCCCCTGCCGACTCCCCCAGTCGCCATCACCGGAGGCAAAATACCTGCTCGCATGAGGGATTTCCCGGCCACCGCACCAAAATGTTGTGGAAAATCCACCCACACGCGGGGAGATAATGAAGCACGAACTTTATTACCCGGGGGCCCAGAGGGGGTGGCTAACATCCAAATCCTCTGAGCACCGATCCTCACTCTCCCGGGGTTTAAATAGTCCCGGGCTTCCTACCCTACGTGGCGAAGCAAGGTTACAGAAGCCGAATGCGGAAGTTAGGTCCAGCTACCTTATATGGGAGACAAAGAGAAAACTCAGGAGGAATTTGCAGAAGCAAGGAGCGAGGAGCTTATCATGGGAGTCTGTGTACGACCTTGAGTAACTGGCCGTTGCTTTGGTTACCACTTGTCAGCTTCTACAGTCCTGTGTGAAACTTTGCAAGTGTTACAGTTACAGAGCATAAGAAACCTTTGGAGTTTTCTTTTCCTGCCACAGGAACATTAAAAACTCACCGTAATTCATGTGATAAGTACATAGTACTCCTTTTCCCTCCCACTCCCCTCTTCCTAGCTGGTCGTCCCCCCCCCCCCCAACATAATGAGATGGAAAAGGAAAAGAGTATATGCATTTTGTGTGCATACAACATCAATTCTACCCGTTTTCTATTAATGTGCCTAGTAAAACCACCCAGACTTCTACTTTGGGGTCAACAGAAATAATCCGTTTACCATTTAAAACCATTTAAGATGTGCTGAAAACAAATGAAAGAATATTGTGAAATAATTGTCTCTGCTGTTAGGTACGAGGACAAATCTGAGGCACTCATGAAAAATCATGATGGGAAGCAGGGCCGTTCGTTTTTAAAGCACCGCGCTGCTGATTTGGTAGCAATGACCTGTTGTGTCTGTCGGAGTGATAGCCGCTCCCGGAGCTCCGCTTCCGTTGTGCGTGCGTGCGACTGGCTGGTGGAGACGACTGCACCGTCTGATCCTGATAGAGGTGCAAGATCATCGAAGACGCCAGTTGACAACACCATCATTAAATTGTCACCAGCTTGGCAAAGAGACAAGCATCCCTACCGCATCAATCTATCCGAGATGTTTATAACTTCAAAAAAATTCAAGCACAATATTAATATAGATAACTGAAATTGCACACACACACCCCTCAAAATCCAGCCACTAGGAGCAAAGCGTGGCCAGGGAGAAGTCAGAAGGGAGTGACACCCAGTCCTTGGGCCAGGAGTCCTGGAATCTGGTCTCATCTCTCTGAGACCCGGTGCCTTTCATTTTAAAAAAAAACAATGGTATCTGAATGGTGCATCTCACAATGTGAGTATCAAAATTTTAGAACATACTAAATACAAAGTATCTCAAAGTAATAGATTCCATCTTCCTGTACAAAGTCGCTCTTGGTATAGTTAAAATTTCACATTGGTTTACTTTTTAAAAAATTGTGATAAAATGTATAGAACATAAAATGTACCATCTTAACAGTTTTTAAGTGTATAGTTCAGCAGCACTATTTTCATCTTGCATCACTGAAACTCGAGGCCATTAAACAGCAGCTCCTCATCCTGCCCCCGGCCCCTGGCACCCACCACCCCACTGTCTGTCTCTGTGAATTTGACTCCTCCAGGGACCTCATATAAGTGCAACCATACAGTATTTGTCCTTTAGTGACTGGTTCGTTTCACTCAGCGTGATGTCCTCAAGTTTCATCCATGTTGCAGCATGCATAATAATTTCCTTTCTTTTTAAGGCTGAATAAGTGTGTATGAATGTGTGTGTACCACATTTCTTTATTCATTCATCCATTGATAGACACCCAGTTTATTTCTACCTTTTGGCTATTGTGAATAATACTGTTATAAACACAGGTACACAAATATTTCTCTGTGATTCTGCTTTGAATCTTTTGCATATGTACCAAGAAGTGTAATTGTTATACCATACAATAGTTCTGTTTTTAAGTTTTTGAACAACAGCCATAGTGTTTTCTATAATGGCTGCGCCATTTCACATTCCCACCCACAGTGCGTGTGGGCCCCAGTTTTACCGCACTCTCACCAACACTTCTTTTCTGTTTCTTTTGGTAGTAATCATTCCTAATGGGCATAAGGTGTATAACTGATTTATTTTTTAATATACAGTATACAAGAACCACTGTCTAATACTACAAAAGTTTTCATATTTGGAATGACTTATTTTTTAAAATCATAGATTAGATACTAATTTACTGAGTGTATTTACAATGATAGCAGAGAGCGATTTCAGAGCTTCTCTGGCATTTGTATTTTATGTATTATTAATATAATATAATAATTAATATGACATAAATTAAATTACATATAAATAACAATGGCTGGGGAAAGCCCAGCCATTGTTAATATAACAAGAGTGATTTTCGGGACATAGATATAACCTGGCAGCCAAGGAGAGTGGACTGGAATGCACATGCGTGAACAATGATGACTTCACTGTACTAGTCAGTAGGGGTAGTAGACACCATTGAGTGAGCATGTGTACTGTGTGGCTGTCACATTCAAAATGACTGAGTAAATGTAGCAACAAATCTGCATCAAGTTTTGTGTTAAGCTTGAACATTCCTCCATGGAAACTATTTGGATGATTCAGAATGCCACAGCTATGGGCAACTGGTGATTGACAGCTTTATCATGACAACATGCCCATTTGTACATCATGTCTTGTGCAGAGTTTTTGGTGAAACATCAAATCACCCAGGTGACTCAGCCTCCTTACAGCTCAGATTTGGTGCCCTGTGACTTCTGGCTTTTCCCAAAACTAAAATCACCTTTGAAAGGAAAGAGATTTCAGACTGTTGATGAGATTCAGGAAAATATGCCAAGGCAGCTGATGGCAACTGGGAGAAATGTGTGAGGTCCCAAGGCGCCTCGTTTGAAGGGGACTGAGGTGTCACTATCCTATGTACAATGTATTTTATATGTTGTATCTTCTTCAATACATGTCTCTATTTTTTCATAGTACATGGGGTGGACACTTTCTGGAGAGACCTCATATGTATAAATTAAATGGAAATTTGCTCCTTCAAGTTATTTTTATGTTTAATTATATATGTACATTTATAACAATTCATACATAAATAGTGGTACCTAAAAAGTTTTGTAATTTGTGTATGTATATATAAATTACAAACCTTCTTAGTTTTATAGGCCCAGATGTCAGTGTTTTGGTGATTCTAGTGAGTAACCACTAACCCATATTCATTCTGTTGCAATTTTAAACCTGTTACTTCCTTACTTTTCACACTGTGGGTTTGGGGTCACCATCATCATCACCTGAGATCTTATATTCAGAATCTCAGGCTCCAGCTCAGACCTACTGAATCAGGATCTGCACTTTCACGGGATCCCCAGGTAATGCTTACGCACATTAAATTTTAAGAAGGGCCCCTTAGTGGGGGATGAGAGAAGTGGTTCGCCATCAACCATACACTATTCCTTGTCAAATGCAGCCCACACTGAAATGTAAACCAGTCTCAACTTACAATAGTGGAGGAAAGAGAGAAAGTTCATCTCAACTCTATTGCAAGCAGATAGATGGTCACTCAAGTGGAGATGGAGCTGTCTAGGTAGCCCTGCCTGCCTCTTCCCTACTCACACCCCAAACCAGCCCCCAGGCAAGGTGGAGAGGTGTCCATCGGCCCCAAGCCCCGCCTAAGCAGTGGAAGGGTACCAGCATGAGTTATGGCCCAGCTGCCTGCCGCATTCAGCAGGCACCATGTCTCCACTCCTTTTCTGACGGGCAAAGGGAAGGTCTCACTGCTAGCCTTTCGTTCTCTCCTTTAGGATGCATCTTTTTTACCCGCCTTCCTCACAGTGAGCCCTGCTGAACCACCTCTTAGATCTGCAGGCAACGTTTCAGTTGTGAGACAACTCACCAGGCTCTGACAAACGAACGGTCCTACAATCTCAGTGGTCACACAGCACTGACTCCGTCTGCAGTGGGACCCCTTCAGTGAAGTCCTGTCAGGTGGTTGTCTTCGCTACTCAGACATCTCCAGGGATGGAAGCAGAGCCACGTGGTTGAATTACACTGCCTTTGCTCTTTAATAAAACCTTTAAAAAAATACAAGCTGCTAAGGCATGTGCCCCATACTCTGCTTATAGAGCTTGGTGTTGGACTAAGGTAAAAAAAAAAGACTAGAATTTTTGTGGGCATATTTTGTATTGTTTAATTTGGTTTGTTGTTTCAGCCACATGAGATTTTTTTTGAACCCTTATTTTGTGACTCAGCATCCTTTCACTGATCACCATGCTACAGATGTTAGCATAAAACGCATTAGATGAGAATGTTGGACAATTTAGGGCTGAGGGACCAATTTCTAAGTTATTCCTCCTGGCGACCTCCCTGTGGATTTATAATATTTCTTAACTATCATTGTTCGGATTATTCAACAAGCTAACAATCCTCTTACCTATAAAAATCAGCCACGGTTCTTTCACAGGGATAGCATGAGGTTCTTAGTCATGCTGAAATCACAGCTCTCTTTGTCTATAAAATTCTGCTGACTCTCTCACAAGAGCTCCCTAGAAAAAGGGAAATGCATTTGGGCTGATATGACTTATTCGTACTGAAACTGCATGGTTTTTAGAGATCACTGTTTACTTTGGGAGCTGGTAAAACTATGTTTAATATAATTAGTTCTATTTTATTGACTATTTTGTTATTTTTTTCTTCACAATTTCTTAAGGATTTCTGATGTCATTCCAACTATTTAGCCTATAAAAACAATAATGATAAACTGAATAGCTACTGTGCATTACTGACCATGTGCCAGGTTCTGTGCTAGAGTGCTTTACGTTGACTTCTCAGCCCAGCCCGAAGAGGTGCTACTGTCCCAATTTTAGAGATGCAAAATAGAAATTCAGAGCTGTTAAGTAACTTTCTAGGAGAACAAGTAGCCTCTAGGTCTATCTGACTTCCATACTGTTTTCTCAGTCAATATATTACATTACCTTCCCTTGGGATGCAAAGACTCAGACATGGAATCTTAGAACAGTTGGCGCTCCTATTCCTTCTGATTGATATTTGTTCCACCCTTTGCAGTCAACTCTGATGAACACTCTTCTCACTCAGAAAAAACAAGGTAGTAAACAAGCATGAAGAGTCCCCACTGTGATTATGTGTCACCCAAGCATCATTATTTTCAAGCTGA